TTTCAAACATCTTTTGAATCTCATGGTTATTTTCTAAACACTTGGTGGTACTTTCCACAGTGATTTCCGTAATGAGTCCTCCAGTGATTTACAGTGGTTTTTTCCTTAATTTACCCCCTAAATATATTCAGTTAAATCCTGGCAACCTTAAACAATAGTCAGCATTTCTGTTCCAGTGAGCATAATTCTGTTGTGTTTTTGACTGTCTTTTGGCAACATGTCCCTTGGTGAAGTTTTCTGGGACAGCTTCTGTGAGGTTAGTAAGTTTGAAAGGATGGTTAGAAGTGCCCAGAGAAATATGAAATTTTTGGGTTCTCCGCTGTAAAACAATATTTGTCAGAGCAAATATTTCTTACTACCTCAGCCCTAGCACACAATCTGTACCCCATTCTTACAGAAAATGGGGAAATTAGGCAGCACTGCTCGTTTTTGTCGAAGTTTAAAGAGAACATGGTGCTGAGCACTCATTTAAAGAGTGCAGAGGAGCATGGCCTGGGCAGCACGAGGGGGTGGTTCCAGCTGCACTGCACCTTTGAGAAAGGCCTGCGTGTGTCACAGCCGGCTGTGCTTCCACAAAGCTCCTGCTAATGCTCTCCAGGCGCCTTGGGGGGAGCAAGGGCTGGAGCAGGGACAGCGTCTCCTGCTTGTGTTCTCTCCAGACCCTCTGTGGGACTCAGGGATTCCCTGCTGAGTGTTCGGGGCCTTTCCTCCTCGGTGGGTGGATGTGTTGTAATCGCCGAAAGCTCAGCTGGAGATCTCTTGCAGTGTACTGGGCATTTAAAAAGTGCTTTACAGCCCTTGTCAGACAGCATGGGATCCTGGAGGCACCTCAGGGAAACTGCATCCTAAAGTATACCAGTGTCCTTAAATTAAACGGGGCTGGGAGGAACCAGATGTGTTATATATTATATTCCGTTCTAGTCTATACTATCCTATTCTATAATACAATATTATATTATTATATTCTTCTAATAATTCAGCTGAGGTTTCTGAGGTACCTGTGTACTTCCCCTCAGGAAGGGAAGCATTGTCCACTCTGATTTAAGAAGTAGAAAATATGCTTGCTGCATCATAAAAAATAAAACCACAAACAAACAAAACACCAAGAAGGCAAAAAAACCCCAAACAAATGAAAACACCAACGAAAACACACAAACGATAAAACTAACCAAACAAAAAACAGCAGAAAAGAAACCTCCACTCTGAACCTGACAAGGAAATGGAGCACAAAGTAAATTTGTTTTCAAGTCAACTTCATTTCAGCAGGATACCAGAGCAGAGCAGATCGCTACCAAACCACTGAGATTTTCATGTGTGGGGGTTTTATAGGCTTGAGACTTTAGTGAGTGAATCAGTTCAGAATGGGTGTTCTCCTTGGCTGTCAACAGAGGATCCTACCAATCTAAATTATCCTGTGATTATGTGACTGACTTTGCTATGGACCCCATTTCACAGATACTCTGTTTTCCCTCCTGCTGTGCTCATGAAGATTAGGAAGCCATCGCTGTGCAGAATCAGACCTTCCAGTGGAACTTTGCTGGGCCAGTATTTTAATTAACCTGTTTCAATCATCTCAGTGGCCTGACGTAAATATACTGTGTTGAAGAACACCTCTGTAAAAATAAATCTGCACTGCCATTTGCATGAGGTCATCCTGTGCTATATTATCTTGTGTCACTCCTAACCCAGGTAAGAAATCCCTGAGGGCAGTGGCCATGTCTGTGCACACCTGTGCTTTGCTGTAGAAACATGTTAAATAATAACACCTTTTAGAGGCTTCACTAAATTATGAGTAGTTGGAAGCACTAAGCTCCTGTACCTGGGCATGCTACAGTGTCTGTGGGTGGGTGTGCAAATGTCTCTGTATGTTGAAGATGAAATTTCAGCTCTTGCTTTGGGATTCCTGAGGCAGTTTACTTAAATCATGACTATTACCTCAATATAATGTCCAGAGCTTATCAGTGGGCCAGTGCCACTTTTCCAGAATTATTGAATTCCGGGAACACTGAGTGACACCCAGCTGAAACTGGTCTTAGGCACAAATCTGTTTCTGCAAGAGGTTGTCCTTGCCTTAAGAAGCTGCATCTTTCAGCTTGAGAGGGCAAGAGAAGAGAGATACTACTACCTCTCTTTAGAGATATTATTACCTCTCTTGCAGAGGGGCACGAGGAGGTTAAGGCAATTATCCATAGGGCAGAAGGACCTGTGAGAGAACAAGCTGCCCTGTTGTTGGATTCTTTCTGGCAGGGGGTTCACAGGGGAATTTGCCTGCAAACTTCTCAACCAAGAACTGAAACACCAGTTGAACTGAAACACCAGTTCAGGATGTCCATGGTGGGACAGGAGTCCTCCCAGGGAGAAACACCAGCTCCTGGGACTGGGAATTCCCTCCTCTGCTCTTCCACAGTCTGTTCTAGCACAGTGTTGCACTGGAGGCAGGGAGGGCTCAGCATCCCCGTGCCTGCCAGATAGTTCCAGGGCTCTTGGAGTGCGCTCCTGACGTTCACACTGCACCTCCTCATGTGCCACACCTGCCTGGCTTTGGATCCACAGCCTCCCTTTACTTTGCATTTGAGAAAATAACTAACTGAGGGGTCTGCCCAGAAGAATTGCTGAGGTTGCATCTGCTTCTGTTTCAGAGAGATGCTCAAGGTTTTCTCGTCCCCATTTGGGGCTGATGACATTTCTTGACTAACCAGTAAGATATGTGCAGCTTCAAGCTTATCTTGAAAGCTGGCTGCTTCTGTTTATCAGCATAGACTTTCTCCTTGGACTCACTTCCTATGTTAGCCAACACAATTATTTTATATATATATATATGTATATAAGTCCAGAAACTCCTCTTGGAAACACATACAAAGCAAGCCTAGCCCAGGACATTGTGCAGGTATGAGGTATTGCTTTCAGACTAGATACCTATGTTTACAGGATACAAAATTAATTACATCTATAGGGCCAGAGCTGGTCACTTAGAGCTAAATCTGCAATGGGCTGTTGGCTCTAAAGCCTGTCTTTTAGATGTTCTTCCAGACAGTATTTTCCTTGTGGCCAGCACGGGAATCCAGCCTCCCCAAGCACTGAGTTAGACACCAAAATAGCCAGACTCCCAGAAGGTATCAAGCTGCACAGGGAAGCCCCAAAACTGGGAGTAGAAAATGCAAAGAAAGGGAGAGAGTCTAAACTTATCCCATCAGAGTTAAGCCAGATTTCCCTGCACAGTGAGCCTTTCCAGCTCTGCTGGCAGCAGTCATCTCAGTGTAATTGCTGAGGGTATATGGTGGTTTTAGAAAAGGAGAGCCCACCCTTAAAATGTTCTGACTGGGGAAAAAAGATTTCTTCACATGAAAAGCCAGAAGATGACTTTTTTTGGTTTCACTGATTAGAAAAAAGACATTCTAGTGAACATAGTATAACTTTTTCTAGTGTGTTTTTCTAGGTTTTTTTCATTTAACTTGATTCTATCAAGTACAGAATTAGCATGAGCTTAAAGTAAACTCATAAATAAAATAAAGTACTAACTGTACTTAGTCATGACATTTCTGAAATAAGTTTTGTGAAGAGCAGCAGTGTCTTTTATTAAACTGAATCACATACACTAGGCATTTATTTGGTGTAGGCAGGACCTAATAAATAAATACTTATTTAAACTATTTGTCGGATTTCCAGTCTAGATCCAGACAAATATCATAAAATGGCATAATCCTGCAGGGTGTTGTAGCTTTCTCTGCGACAGCAATCCGAGAGGAGCATTATGTCAAATAACTAAGGACATGCAGGAGTGTAGGACCTTGCTCTGCACAGCCCTTTGTGGTGATAGCAATGAACGTGGAGGATGCACTGCCCGAACTCAGAAATGGTGACAACCAGTCTGGGGCCTCTTTAAAACTGTTTCAGGCTACTGGTCATGGAGAAACAGCTCCTGTGTGCCCAGGACAGCACTTCCCAGGCACAGAAATTGTTATGCTTTCTTGTCTGGTGACTCTGCTCTTCAAGGTGGCCTTCTTCTAAGAAAGCGTATAGACATAGACAAAAGACCATTTCTTCTGTTTGACAAAAAAGAGAAAAAATAATTTGTGTCAAATAGAGTACCAGAACGTTGCATTTTTCTATAAAATTCTGCCCAGGAATGTGGCAGAGAGAGGTTCTCGCTGCATTTGCTGGGAATTGCTGTTGGATTGTCTCCTGGACATTCTGCATTAAGGTTGTCCTACAGATCTATGGCTCACCTAAGTTCCATGCCTGGCAGGCCCAGCACAGGGTGGGGAATCCCCCAGGCCAGTCTAGTGAGCCCTGGCACTGGTGGCCCACCCTGCAGGCGTGGGGGCTGTCCCATGTTCTCGTGCATCCCTGGCAAAGCAGCGTTTGGCGGGTGGGTCACAGAGTCTGTGCGGCTCCTCAGGATGTTCCCGCTCCCTTGGCATCTCCCGTGCCAGCAGAAGGATACCTCACCAGCCCCGGGGGCTGTGGTGGCTGCAGCAGGGGCTGGGTTGGCAGGTTGTCTGTATGTGCCTTGCTCTGCTCTGCTGATTGTGCTCAGAGATCACATCTCAGCACAGGGCAGACAGCTGGGCAGTGACCCTGTGAGTCACTGCCATCCTCTCAGAGCTCAGGGTTTGTGGACAGCAAATGAGAAAGTTCTGGTGAAAGGGCTGGGTGGAGAGTTGCTTTTGGATTCTGTTTTCCAAATGCCCTTTTACACTGCTTGTGTGGCTGCCTTCACCTTCCTGAGACATCTGACTTGCCTGACCATCCTTCTGGGAGGAGTCAAGTAATGGTGTCTGAGCTTCTTGGTGTCTAAGGGGTCCTTGCCTGGTAGTCACGTTTGCAACCTCAGAGAACAAGACATGGCACAAATCACACATATGAAAGAGATTTAGAAGAGTAAAGAGCTCAGAGGGTTTTGGATAAATACACAAAGTTTGGATTCTGGTCCAAACCTCTCTGGTTTGCAAAATGAGTCTGGAAGCATCACAAGAGCAGTCTTTTTTTTTTTTTTTCAGCCCTGAAGTTTCTGGTCCTGACAGGAGTTGGGAAGTGACAAGATTTACATAAACAAGGAAGAATTATCTGAATCTTCTCAGGACTCGTGACAGGTACTGAATTAATGTTTAATCTGAGCCTACTAGGTTATCTTATCCACCAGACTAGTGGTTGTTGTTTATTGTTTGTGTTGTGTTAAGCTCATGTCTTGCCAGGTACTGAGCAAGCTCACCCTAAAATGCTGACCCACACCTGCAAGGGTTTGACAAAGGGCAGGTGCCAGCCCTGAGAGTTATCTGCTGAAAAAACTAAATGTTGTAAGAATGAAAGGATCTGATTTCTAGTCCACAAAGAGCTTCCATTGTTTTCAAGCCCTAGAAATGAAGGATGAGTTTTAAACAAAGATCAGAAGAAAAAAATTACAGGTTTTTAAGGTACTCCAGCTTCAGACCAGGATCCAGGCTTTGTGACCAGGAAAGGAGGAACAAGTCCCTTTCTGCTGTATAAATACATGAGTATTTCAATATGTGGATTGGCATTAACACCAGACTTTGAGATGCTGCCTACATAAAAGTACTTTTAAAAACAACTAGCAGGTGTCTCTAGTGCAAGTCCCCCATTAAAGCGAGCTATGGGTCTCATTAAATAATCTTTCCAGCCCCCCACTTTGCAGCAGCCTGTTCCCAGATCTGAACTTTGGAGCTGACCCCTGTCTTTGTGATGGGCCAAACCAAAAGCCAGATCTGAACACCACTGAACTCTGGGAAAGTTCAAATCTATCGTTTGTGGTTCAGGTTGAGCTTTAATTAAAACAGACCAGTTAGAAAGGCAAATGTCTTAAAACCAAAACAAAACAAATGTTTCACGTGAAAAGTCTTGGATTAGGCTATATAGGACCAAGTAGTGTTTTTGTCTATCACATGATGTCATGTTGCTCTGGTTAACACACACTGACAGCATGCACATGCTGCCATGGGAGATATTCCATGCAGACACTTTGAATCCAGCTTTGAGCAGAACACAGTATTCGTGGAAATACTTCATGCTGTGCAAGAAGCCATCAGCAATGAGTAGCTGCTCTTACTGCCACGCAGCCCTCAAGGTTGTCTGCTGCCTTCCCAGCTTTCCCTGCCCATCCCTAGTTGCACAGTAGTCCAGGGTCTCTCAAAAATCAGTGCCTTGCCTTCTCTGAGTGAAGCCTATGCCTCATTATGTCAGCAGTATGTGGAATATTGCCACTAATCCCTGAAAACAAACAAGGGGGTGCTGCAGAACCTTGGGTTGTGTAAGAGGGCAGGGAAATCCCAGCTGACTCTCCTGCTCAGAGCTTCTGTTTATACTGTAGTTAAAACTACAGTGTCTGTAATAAAGCAACATGGTTCATCGATGGGAAAGGGAAAAGCAAACAAAAGGGAAGGGAACTTGGTTTCAGCATTACTGAACTGCTGAAGTGAGAGAAAACAGAGACAGCAAGGAGAAAGGGAAAGGGAAAGGGAAAGAGGGAAAAGGTGCTAATGCCCCATCGCTGGTGTCAGGATGTCACTGTGCACCAGCAGCTGGAAAAAAGAGGGTCTCAGACAGGAGATTTACTGAGAGAATCAAGCACATACAGTAAATAACCAGCAGTTACTCTCCCAGTGGGCTTTTTTCTTTTCCTGATGTTCCACGTAAGTACTGAGCATTAGTTGAGTATTTTCTCTTTGTGAAATTTGAGTTCAGGCTCTTTGTGGACAATTAGCTAAGGTTTCCAAACTTTCTTCTTATGCAAACGAAGCTAATAATCCCACCAGGCCTCTGGACTGAGGTTTTTCAGTGTGGTCTTTTTTCAGGCCAGGACTCACTTTCTAGAAGACCAAATTCCCCCCCAACATTTCTGTCTTTTGCTTTCTCTTTGGATAGGAAGACTTTACAGCAACCACCTTTGAGGATATGTCCCAAATGTTTAAGTGGAGGCTAGTCCCCACTAATTAAACCTTGCAATTCCTCACTGAAATCAGTCATCCAGACAGCCAGGTAGGAAGTGACATGCCCAAGGTCACAAGAAAAGGCACAGCTGGGAACAGAGTCCAAGTCCATTATCTCCTGTCCATGCTTTAACCATAAAATGATGGTTCTCACACTGAACTAGGAGCCACAAGATATATGAAAAAGGAAGGGAATGGTAATGAGCTTCTTGGTGTGACACATTCCTCTTAGCTGGGACAAAGAGAAAGGAAAACTGTTTTATCCATTCTTCATTAATACTTCTCAGGTTAAAGAATGTTCAAATCTTAACCCTTTTTGCTCAGAGGAAATTTTCAGTTCAGACCTTTCTTTAGTGGTCAAGCTGTAATTAAAAGAACAATCTTTCTATTTAATAATTCTCTATCAATATCCTAATTCTATTCATGGCATCATTTAAAACACACCAAAACAATAGAAAGCAGTAAAAGACACATCTATACAAAGGAATGAGAGACTTACAATATTTTCTTCTGCACCAATTTCATAGAGGAGGATTACCAGGAACCTAGTTGTTACTTTAGAATTTTCTTTAAAGCAAGAAGTGGAGTTGAATGAGAATAGATAACTTCTCATGTTCTACACATGATAATATATTGATGTCCAGCAAATCTCGTTGAAAGAATCACATGGTCTTGTGACGTTGCTAGAAGTATGGCAGAAAATACATGGTTATTGACGTGTGCTCAGGAATGAGAAGCAGTCAGAGAGTAAAACCCACTGAACTGCTTAGGGAAGTTCACCACCTTTGCCACACAGTTAATAAATACCCTGTGTGTTCTTGCCTGGGACACTGGCATTGGCAGGTTCCCAAGCTCCTGCCTTAGACACCGAGATCATCCTTCCCAAGTGCACAGGCAGGTACCTGCCCCTGGCAGCCAGGACTGCCCCAGGGACTGACCCAGCTGAGCATGAGTGCTCTGGGCTCCCACTCTGGGCTCCTGCTCCTGCCCTTCACCAGGCCCAGCTTCTGCTGCTCCTGGCCCAGTTCTTTTTCTTCCCTTCTCCCTTTACATGCACTCATAGGTCTGCTATGCTCTTTCCCACTTCCCCACGGCCCTAACCAGGCAGTTGAAAGGCTTCCATCACGAAGATTGGAAACATATTCCATATTAAATGTAACAGGATAGTATGGCCAGCAGGTCCATGTTTCAAACACATTCAATTTCTATCACAGCTGAGAATAAACAGCAGGGGAAGCTACTTGATGGGTTGGTGGAGGCTGTGGCTACCCTTTCTTGTGGAACATGTCTCTGTCACTTGCTAAATAGGTGCACCATCTGGTGGTAATTTTGGACTCCCACTTCTTAAATTTCCAAAGAGCAGTGGTGGAGCTATGCCTGTGGTTGCTGCACTTTTATTTTTTTTGCCAGTATCTGTCTGAAAGTCATCAGCTAAGACAACTTTTGTAGGTGCTACTGGTGAATGAGTACTAAGAATAGGTAGGACTTTAAATTAGGATCAAGTTTCCATGTCTGCTGTGTGGGGCAAGCAGGTATGACTTTATGAGAGGACCACATGCTCCCCGAGAAACATACACAAAGAGGTGGAAAAATTTCATAGACAAACAAAAATTAGGTATTAACAAGCTTGATACCTAATTAGGGAGTCTAAGCTCCAGGATAAGCAACAGGGACAATCATACAGCCCAATTAAGATCCAAATCACTCCCTGGAAGAGCTTCTCTCTCTTCTCTGACCATACAAGGAATACAGGCTGACTAGGTTCCTATCTTGGACATCTCGTGCAAATGCCTGCAGTTGTGTGGTATGAAACTGGGCCAAAGGAAAGAAGTGAGGAAGGGGCTTCTCATTTCTCTGCCTTTGTTGTCTGAAGCCCGTGCGTTCAGCAGCAGAGAGAAATCACTGCTATCTCTTGTGCCATTGCCCTCAGAAACTGCAAGGTTGCACTGACCATGTCAGATGGAACTTTGCATGGAGATCTCTTCTGAACAGGGTGGGTGGAGGCTGAACCAGGCAGAAAATGAGTTTCCACATTTTCGTTAAGAAATGAGTGAACAGGTAAAATTAAATCATGATCCATGAGAAAACTTTCTTCTTTTTGGCAACTTCAAAAGAGCTCTCAAGCCTACAGCAGTTCGGTCCATGTCTGCTGAGCTTCTACCTAGAGAGAGCAGTGTTCTCTCCCAGTGCACCAGCAAGGCTTCTGGGGTGAAAGCAAACTATTTAAAGACTCCTCAGCAATCCAAGCCCATTTAACTGACATTAGTTAAGTCTTAGGAATCATCTTTCTCACAGAATCCCAGAAATCAGAGGTTGAGCCTCTGCAGCAGAGAGAGCATTATAAAGTTGTCTCCTAAAACCACTTCAGGTGGATCTAGGATGGGCAGAAGCACACAGCATCAGCTCAGTCTCGCATGCTGCCTTTCACTATGACTTCTATATTCTGCAGACCACTTGGTTCTGCATTTAAAGTGAAACACCTTTGAAGACTCTTTAAGAAGACTTAAAATGGAAGGATTAAAGTTGAGCACATATTGGGCAAACAGAGCAGGGCTGAAGTTGTTGGCCAGTTTGAATCCTAAGTGGACAACTACCTTACAACTACAGTTGTAAGTTCATTTTTCTCTTGCTGACTTGCTTTATTTCTTTCATTTCAATTTGTCTCCTCTCTCAACAATGATATTGTACTTCGACGTCAGTGAGAAATAAACTGAAGTCATGCAGAATTTAATCCAGGGCTAAAAAGTCAGGCACGATACGCACAAAGGAAATGTTGTCAATTGGAAAATAAGGTATTTGTCAGATGTAATATTGTGCAATACATCAGCCACTTCATTAGGAAAAGAAATTGCTCGTGACTGGAGGCACGACAGCAACCGGCATGGATCAGTGATCTAAGCCCGGGTGCTGAACACTTGTTTGCAAAGCAAAATGCGAAGATCAACAAACAGTGTGTTTTTCGTAATGTTTGCTCTTGCCTCGCTGTGCATTTCAAGCTTTTCAATTTAGAAACAGATGGTTTACCAAGCAGAATGTATCCCAAAGAACAGAGGAGGGAAGGGAGGGATGCTGCTACATATGTAACTCTGAAGTCTAATGTTATGTTTAGCTGTCCTGCCTGCTGTAGAGGTTGAGCTAGATGACCAAAC